AAAAGCATCCAAAGTAACATTAATAATATTAAAAGCATTTATTTTATAGAAGTATATCATAATTTAATCCATTCAGTGGACAAGAGCAGCTCTGAGTTTTGTGAGACAAGCCCCGTTAATTACATTTTTTCCAACAGCTGTGGGTGAATTCCACCAAGTTTTCCGGTGTAGGGTGTCAGATTTTGATCTGTGCTTTATTATTATAATGTTTTCATCCATTCTGCTTCACAGGCTACTCTTCTAATTTTACTGCTGCCAGTTGTTTTGGACACCTGCTGATGTAATTTCCTACTGAGTTACAACCAATCAGCGTGAGTTAACCAGAGGTTCTGCTCTGCTACTCCACCGGGCCGTTCGAGTACCTGCTCCAGAGCTGGTCCTCAGAAGTTTCCTGAAAACGGCCGTTCGGACGGCCCGGTCAGGTGGAGACACGCGCATGTCGGGAGGCTCCTGTAAATCTCCCCTGAAGTGGAAACACGCCTATCGTGACCATTTGGGCATCGACTGACGCTGCACCAGGATAGGATCCAGGCCATGGAGCAAGAAGGATCATTAAATGACTAAAAATGTAGCAGAAATAAAAGCCTTTGAGCTTCACACTAAATACAGTATATTATACTAACTACATATTTGCTGTAATCCAGCTATGTTTTATATCTGTAACAGAGCCATTATGAAGTAAATGAAAACACGTTGATTCTTTTATCCTTCCAGGATACTCTTCTCAGTTTTAATCATCACCATCACTGTTTTATACATTCTGAGCGTTTGAATAATTTCATCTCAGTGACAGAGAGTTTTGAAACTTTTGACACTAATTGATTAAAAATTGGATGTTTGAGAATTCTTTGGTGTACTTGACCTGCAATTGTGACTTAAAATTAATGGGCACAAAGTACACAAACAAGTACACAAACAAGTTAAAAGCATCCATCAGAAGTGAGTAACCACAAATAATTTCTGTATTAATATTTGTAATACAACTTTGATTAAAAAATGTTTGTAAATTTTTTGTAGAACAGTAACTTCAGCCATAGATTTCTATGGATAACTGATTAAGCTAATCTGTTTAAGCATCAACCCTTAAAACGCACTTATAACAACATAAAACATTTGCTTGAGGAATGTCACATGTCAAACGTTTTTTTTTTTTCAATTACAATGAGATTCATCACATGTGATGGGTGTGTGCTCATTCAGCCACATTCAACAACTCTCATATAGCTCCCTGTAGCATGTTTATTTCTTTGTTGTAGATCTATCACTAACAGTGTATTTGTAAAGTGTATTTCTGTTTGCTTTCTAACATTCCTAACAGTCAGTTTTTGTTGTTGCTTGAGTGCTTTTATGACTTCTCATTAGTTTTTGCTTTCCTACCTTGAATAGCTGGACTGGTATGAAGCCATAGTTCACAATAGGTGTGTTTCCATTATCGGAACTTTGGGGTAAACTTTTAAGAACTTCCCAACATGGTCACTACAGTGGACAGGTACTCAAAATAGTTATTTATTTTTATTTTTTGTTATTAAGCGCATCTGTTGAAGACTTTATTGCATTTGAGCCCCTCCATTTGTACTTCAGTAAGTCAAGCCAACGTATTTCATGTCCAGAATGGACGCTGTCCACTGAGGTGGACATGTAATAAATTATTTGTAAAATATTAAATGTTACAAAAAAATATTTGTTGAAATTTGTTTCATTCACACCTGAAGATGAATGAAAATATGTGTTAAAAAATTCATGGTTGAAAATTTCATAATTCATGCATCAAAGGGTCAGTGTTAATAATGTTACTATTGACAATTTTTGGCACTGATCAGTGACATCACGCAATGCCGAAGTAGTTGCGATTTGCTGACGTCTGTGTAAAGTCCTGAAGAGGCTGAGTTTGAATGGAGACACAACAGCTGAGAGGACCGCGACATCCTATCGTCCAGTCAGTGTTCCTTTTCCAGAATTTACCTTGAAGTTCCAACATTGGAAACATGCCCGTTAGCTCAAAGACTGTGGGTGAGCAACTTCTTCTTTATACATGACATATAGTTGTGAGGACTGTCAATGCCTGTCGCTTTTATTGCTTAAACACATAAGTTTAAATCCTTCCCAGTAGCTGTTATCATTTTATATTTTGTGAAAGAAAAATATTTGAAATAATATATTTAATTGAGACAATACACAGACACAACACAAATGATTAGTATATAATTTCAGTTGTTGTTTGAGAAGAAAGTTTTCAACAGTCTAACAAATCAATTGACAATTAAAGAAATAAGGGGGAAAGCAATATTTGCTCAATTTAGCAGTCTTGTTGACTTTTTAGTGTTCGACAGAGTAGTTCGTCAAGAAGCAGCGTTTTGTGATGCAGACTTGCAGGCCTGGGGTGTTGTGTTTTCACAAAGGTCACATGAGCTCTGAAGCAGATTAGCAATTCAGAATGAGCTAAAGGGGCTAAAAGGCTTGTGTAACCCTGCCTGAGTCTTATTACGTTAGCAAAGAGTTGGAGTGCAAGAGCAGACAACTCAAATGGCCAAACGTGAAAGAGAACTGCAGAAATTCATCTAAAACAGGCTCATGTATTGTGCATGAAACAATAATTGGCCAATATTGTGACAGAGCTAGCAAGATGCACTTGATGTACCTGACTTGAGTGTAAAATTTTATCCATTTGATCTCAAACAGAGATTATCGTTGTTCACAGTCATGGCTGTCTGCTCTGGACAACATCTGTCTAACAGGAAGTAGTTTCAGGTGAAAGATCATTACAGCAGCAGATCTGAAGGAATGAACTATTTCCTGTGTTCCAAGGTTTATTTGCAGACCAAGATGTCCCTCAGAATTAAGGATTACATTGAGAAAATATATTTAAAACAGGAAAACAAGAAAACTTGAGTTGGTGCTTGCGAGTTATAAGAGCAATTAAATGACCCCACCCACACACCTTACACGGTTGTGTAACTGAGTGGTTGGTTGACTCAGCAAAAATGTCCATTTGGTTTTCATCTTTTTAAATCTGTTTTCTTTAGCTTATTCTCCACACTTTTTTGTGCTGATTGTAAATGCTGCCTCCTAATAATAGTCTTCAAATTGTGTTTTTGTTATTTTCAGTAAAATTGTAAAAAAAACATTCAGTCCATGACTTTTGTAAACAGCTGAAATCAAAGAACGCTTTAAACAGATAAGTCACCTTTCCCATCTAAAACTATGTTGCTGTCTCCCCTCTCAGCACCATGGACAGCTCTTGTTGGAAAATGCTCTGCTGACAGTGTTGGACAAAAAGCTCTCTGCAACAATTCTGTTCAAATCAAAGAAAATAGACTCAACTGCTCTGTCCCAGGCCTCCTTGCAGCTTTTCATTTATCACAACACCTTACTGTGTGTTAAAAACAAACCTATAATACAAGATCACACATCCCTATCAAGTGGACCAGTGCTGTTAATTTGCACAACTGCATGCGGGTCAATACCAGGTGTGCTATGTGCTCTATAATCATTGTGACAGTGAAACAAGAACTAACCCAAGGGTAGAGCAAAGCCAGGATTAGGTACAGAAATGACTGGAGTGCTATTATCCATATTAAAATGTGCACCAGTCTGCCCTCCCTCCCTCTCCTCATCTCACAGAGCTGTGATAAGGCAGGATGAACCCAACTCCATATGTCAAACGTCACTTCCACACGCCTGGTTTACAAAACAGTCCTCATTAGAAAGACAAGCATTAGAAAGCATAGGAAAGAAAAGGAGAGGGAGAGGGAAAGTAATATGATGAAGAAGTAAAAAAAAGATTTGCGAATGTTTCAATCTGACTAATTTATGTATGCATCTTTCAAGCAGCCAACATTCGCTATTTATTTGGAAAGGTTTTACATTCTCATTGTATGACGAGCGCTTGAACGTAATCATGTCAACATATAAAATGTGATTTGTACTGAGAAAATAGAAAATTTGAAAACAGAAGAAATTAGAAGCCGTAAATACGAGCCACAGCAGACATAAATTATCTAAAAGTCAGGAAAAAGGTAAATAATCTGCAAATTTGAAAAATAAAGGGTCAGGAAAATGCATCATTGTTCAATTAAGCTAGATTTATAGCTACAATTATTTTGAGAATTGCCTTGCTGATACAAATACAACTCTAAAAGTTATCCCACATGTTCTAGGTTCAACTAGGAGATGGGAGAGGGGTTTTACTAACATGCTGACAAACAAAGTGTCTAAAAATCTAAATAAAGACTGATCGTTCAAATCTGGTCCGAATTGTCTTCCTTGCTTTGCCTAAAGCAGTGGTTCCCAACCTGGAGTCCGTGAAACACCCAAGGGGTTCCCCATAAGGTTGTGAGGGGTCCTCTCTGTGCATACTGAGGTTGTGAGGTTATAGAAATTAGATTTATAAAATCCAGATGACACACCCAATACTACAATCAAAGCCCTGTGTAAGAGGCATAACTCTGTACAAAGGTTGTAATTATTCATGTTTAATTGTGTGCATGCTATAGGAGTTAGGGTTGAGGGGCCTTGGCTTTTCTTGAACAGAAGAGAGGAGGTCCTTATAAAAAAACGGTTGGGAACAGCTGGCCTAAAGGATTTCTAGGTCAGACTATATTAGCGTAGTATTAAAGGAAGCATCTCTGTAGTTAAAGTAGTGAAAGCACACACTGTTCACAGAAAAAAAATCCAAAAACCTTTAGAAAGATTGAGAAAGTGATGCCCATGACAACTTTAAGATAATCTATCTCTGTGTGTGCGTGTGCGTGTGTGTGTGTGTGTGTGTGTGTGTGTGTGTGTGTGTGTGTGTGTGTGTGTGTGTGTGTGTGTGTCAGCCCTGACATTCTAGATGAATCCGTGGATGCTCTGGTAGCCTGCAGTGATTTGAACTCAAGAAAATAAATGCACGCATACTGACAGATATACCCAGAGGTTGTCATGACAACCGTGAACCAGCCTCCTTTGAATGCACGTGCGTGTGAACGTGCGTGAGTCCTAACCCGGCCTCACAGTCCTACCTTGCACTCATCCATGCACGTCCTAACCGAGTATGCATCCGTCTCGTATTTCTGAACGAGTAGCTCAAACTCCCGGTAGTTCTCCTCCGCTTGCTGATCAAGACGCTGATAAGCCTGGACACACTCCCTGCATCCCAGCTGATCCACCCCCATGGCCATATCCAGGGAGCAATTCATAAGGTCCGGACTCGTAAACCCGTAAAACAAATCCAAAAGTGAGTAGGAATTACAAAAAGAAAGGTACAAATCGCTCAGATTCACGTACGCCGACTGTGTCCCCTCTTCCCCTCCGCCAGAGAGGCCCAGGCACACGGTCCTTGCGTCCGTGAAAGTGAAGCAGTCTTTGGACAGGCTGTCAGGGTGACAGGTGTCCATTCGCCACAGAGGTTTGGTAGAATTCCCTATAAAAATAACATCTTGCTCTCTGGCGAGACGGTGGGGGTCAGGTGATGTTGGGATGTGGTATCGATGGAGGGAGTTTGGGTACGCGCCCATGTCCGTGATCGCGAGCCCCTCGTCCGACCGCTTGTCTCGGGTTCGCGTCAGTTTCGCCTCGGCGCAGAACCACAGGTGATCAGAGAGTAGGACGGTGATGAAGAGCAGAGAGGCCAGCGACAGTCGCCATCTCTGGGCCCGCTCCGGCTCGGTAAACGGCTTCTCGTTCTCTCGGGGTGCAAACCAGTATTTTAAACCTCCGTCATGCTGCCGACGCATCCAAGCACCCCTGGTCATATTTTAGGAAAGTGCTGCCCTGGCCGACTCCACCGCGGGGGCTGCTCTGCCACAATACTCATTGACTTGTTGGGAGACTGACTCCGGTTGCTTCTCCTCTGTGGTGGTGGGGGTGTGCCGTGCCTCCTCCGCCGGTCCAGGGCGCTCCACTATCGCGCCCGCAGCAATCGGCGCTTTTCCGATCCAATTAGCGTGCCCGCACAGATTCAACTTTGCGCTCCCGCATCCCGGTTCTCCATGGCTCTCCGGGGGAAAACGGCGTCCTCTTTGACCGCATATCCTTTTCTCCTTCACGCCCCTCTCCGGGTCTGTTCAGGGGGCGCGGGGAGACCAGCTGTTGCAAGCCTCTTGGTGCTGATGCTGCTCGTTTGCTGCCGCCTGATCTGCAGATTCTCTTAAAGGAGAGCAACGAGCCCTTTCGATGGAGGCAGATTGGTTTCTCTGTCCCGTGCTGGGGCGCAAAGCCTGGAATTTGTTCTCCTGGCGGCCACTGTCATCTTGGACCTCGGTTAAGTTGCCGCCATGTTCGTCTTGAAACACTTTTTCGGAGAGCTGGGTCTGTTTGCGTCATCTCCATCGTTGTGATAGCTCCATCGTTGCGCAGTGGCGGAGCAGCTTATTACCTGTATGCACGCCGCACACACAGAGACACAAACGGAGAGGGTGAGGGAGAGACCATGGGCACAGAAAGGTGTTTAATGGTGTTTTGGCTGTGCGCTCAGCTCTTACAACAGATCATTAAATATTTTTGACATGAACACACATGTGGTGACATCTTGCTTTTGGTGCAGGGCACACGCAAGTGAGTCCACTCACGATAATGCGGTTTAAATATACTTGTATAAAATTATTAATTATTAATAATGGTCACAACTGTTTTATAAGCCAGGCAGGCTCCACTGTAAGTCCTCAAATATTTCACCAAATGAAGAAAATAAGCTAAAAATAAGATAAAAGGGTTGTTTTTGTTTTTGATTTGAGGAAAAAAAAGAGAGAAAAGTAAGTCTGGATTGAGCCTTGGACATGTGGCAAGCAGCTGAACAAGCAAATGGTTTGTGCGTCTAGGTTGATAATATTGTTAGCTCCCTGTGGATCGTGTCTTATCAGCTGGGGTGTGTTTAGTCAGTGGCACGTGCTCTGTGAGCAGCCTCCTGGATGTTTGACTGAGAGGTAGAGAGAGTAACATGTGCTGGAAGTAAATGACTGTATTTATACTCAACATTAAAACAACTCGCCCCTGCCAGCAATCACTGCTTGAGGTGGTACAGATAAAAAAAAGAGTTGCTCAGTGTTAATCAGCTGCATCAAGAAGACAAGAGATTATTATCTGATTAATTAGTGCTTAAAGGGAGGGATTTCTTTATGCAGCTGGTTATTGATAGAAAGTGCTTCTCTGAAACCAGTGATGAAACATGATGCAACATTATATCAAAAGATATAAAGAATCCATGGAAGCTGCAAAAAATAATAATAAATGAAAAATATTAAAAAATCGGATCTACGTTCAGCACCAAGGATAGCTCCCCAAATGAAGTTTTCAGTCAGTAAAACCTCAACAAAAAAGGAAAGTAAAAATATTTTATTTTAATTTTTACTCTACATCTGCAAGACTTTTCAAAGCATTTAAAGTTATGGAATTTGGTAAAATTATGAAAGAAAAATATTTTGAAAGTCAAATTTCCACCATAAATGTAATGTATTTGATGAAATGTCACATGCTTCCTTTGTTTGAGGTTTTATTGTCATTATTTTTGGGTTCGGCATCTGTGATGTGCAACTTTATTTATTTATTTATTTATTTATTTATTTATTTATTTATTTATTTATTTATTTCCTTATTAGAAGAAGAAACAATCATTTACATAATGCCTCTCTATACAAAAATTACGAGTTGTTTCACAAGAACAAAACAAAAGATTAAAAAAATATTTCAAAGTATCATTAAAATTTGAAAAATAAAAATTGTGATACAACATGAAAGGAAATGGGACATACAGTACTTCCTCATTTATTGCTGCACTGGAAGAAGGTTTTTTTTAAAAAATGTTTTATTTGTTTATTTATTTTTTGCCTCTTTGTCAGATTTGGTTATAGGAGCATTAGCTGGAAATTCGAACCAAAGATGGTGATATGCCAAGCATCTGTTGTGTGGTTGCTAAGGATGCTTGAATGCTCATTCCTCACTCGTTGCTCTCACATATTTTATCACCGCAGGATGCTGTGACTGGGTCACGTGGGGATGTGTGTCCTACTTTGACTGGGATTGTCTAGTCCGCCTTTAACTGTATGCCTTTGACCCTGACAATGATAGTTGTGCATGTTTAGGAGAATGTTAACACTTTTCTTCCTCTTATCTGTTAGTTGGTGTGAGGCTGCATAAGGAGAATCAGAAAATAATGTCCACACCTTCAGTTGGTGTTTTGCCAGCTGGTTGATGTCAGATTATGGGAGGGGATCCAGTTCACAACATATGGAGCTTTGTCAGTTTTACCCCACGTTCAGTATTTTCCTACCTGTTCATGTGTTTGAGTGTGAGGGAAGGACAGGTATGGTGCACCGACAAGAGTGAGAAAGAGTGGGGAGATGCAGAGGGGGTAGAGGAATGGGAAAGATTGGTGAGATGAATGCAGATTGCTGGCCCTTAAATCCGGAGCCATCACAGTAACAGTACGGGCTGGCAGACATGACTCATCCACAATCCATGCTCTATGTGTGTGTGTGTGTGTGTGTGTGTCTGCGTGCGTGCCTGCGTGCGTGCGTGTGTGTCTGCGTGCGTGCCTGCGTGCGTGCGTGTGTGTGTGTGTGTGTGTGTGCGTGCGTGTGTGTGTGTGTGTGTGTATGTGTGTGTGTAGAGTCCAGTGGTGCTGTGTGTGTGTGTGTGTGTGTGCGCGCGTGTGTGTGTGTGTGTGTGTGTGTGTGTGTGTGTGTGTGTGTGTGTGTGTGTGTGTGTGTGTGTGTGTGTGTGTGTGTGTGTGTGTGTGTGTGTGCGCGTGCGTGTGTGTCTTCTCTGATGCAATATGTGTGGACCTGGTTATTCTGCTTCACTAGACTGATGCCAATTGGAAGATAAAAGATTAGCTGCTCAGTTTAGGGTGACAGTATTTTAGGAATACAGAAACAGAACTAAACCTCTAAATTAAACCTTTCAGATTTGTTTTTGCACCATTTTCTGGTTTGTCAAAGACACATGAATCAAACACATGTATATATATATATATATATATATATATATATATATATATACATATATATATACATATATATATATATATATATATATATATATATATATATATATATATATATATATATATATATATATATATGCGTGTGTGTGTGTGTGTGTGTATATATATAACATTTTCAGAAAGAAAATAGCCAAGCAGGAAACCTAACCTGTCCTATAGGAGAGGTTTTGTAACTTCACTTTTTATTCTTGTTGAATCATTAATGTCACTTAAATTGTGTCCAAACAATAAAAATAAACAATTTTTTTTTCAAACAACAAATTGACTCTGCCAGAGAAACATCTTTGCGAACGTGATTATTGCTATTATGTGAAATTATGTCTAAACTCCTTTCAGATTGAAGAGGACGGGTATGAGAAGAGAGAGCTGGATTCATGCTTGGGTATCACAGGAAGTCAGCGTGAGATGAAAGAAATAGGTGACATCATCCAAATGTGGCCATTTTCCAAATTGTGTTGCGTCAACAACCTTCATACCTCCTCTACTCTGAGTCAGCACAGAAAAAGGTCCTCTCACTATGATTAAGTGTTCTTGATTATAACGATGTACTAGAATTGTGTGTCCTTCTGTCATATTTAACCTTCATTTTCTCTTTCTCTGATTTGGTCATTATTATTTTTTATCTACATCATCAAATCATTCTCTCTAGAATCCATGTTATCTGACATCAGAGAAGAACAGGACACATCCGCGGCCTCTCTGATTGGTCAGAAGAGGCAACTCCCTCATTCCAGGCCCTGCATGGATTGGATGTTGTGATTTAGGGTCCACTCAGGAACGTTGGTCTATCACTTTGCATCGATTAGTCAGACATGATTATCGTTTGAGGATAAAAACAAATTAGCAACAGGATCTAATGTGCCTCGCATCCAACATAGCTCTCTCCACCTCTCAATAAATATAGCCAAGGTTATTGTTAGCACAACATGCTAACAGAAAGCAGATCTCTGGTAGGACTCAAAGCCGGGGCCCTTCTCTGTATTGCATGCGTGTTTTCCCTGAACATGTGTAGGTTTTCCTCCAGGGACAGCAGCTTTCTCCTGCAGTCTAAAATAAGCTTTTGAATCTAAACTGACCTTCAGAGCCAGTGTTGGTTGGTTGTAGGGTTTCACTCTGCACTCTGCACTGACTCTTGTCCAGTCACAGTCTGGAACGTTTACCTCTGGAGGGCTTTGTATAGATCACAACTTCATCCAAATAATATCTGCAGCAATAGATTTTGGGGTTTTTATGTTTTTAAATAAAAATATGCATATTGTAAAATTTCACATTATGAGAGCTATACCGTCAGAGCTGGAAGACTCTTACGTAATTGGAGATTTAAAATAAATATGCTTTTAGATATGATGGAGGGCTGAGAATCTGAAGGCCAGAGGAGAAATACGGTTTAATAATTCAGCTAGAGATTTATCTTTTCAGAGAATTAATACAGAATCCGGTTTGATTTTGCAGGTTTGGAGAAGGTCATATAATTCAGATGGTCCAAGCAGTGCAGAGGAGAGTGGTGAGTGGTTCAGCAGAGGTCCCTGCAGCAATTTGAAAGTCACAAGAGCAAAGAGTGAGGATTACTTTAAGGAGATGTTTCACTGCAGAGAACTCAGGTGAGTTACTATCAAAACACTTCTTACCAAAAGAGACATGTGAACTGGCTGAGATCATCATTGAGGCAACTTGCAATAGATGATGACATGATGCAACACACAAGATGACTGTAATCAGGTGTGATTCTGCAGTTTGTGACCAGTAGCTTCTCCAGCAGGTGCAGTGCATAGAGCAATCAGACCCAAGAACCAGCAGAAAAAGGAGGGGAAAACGGGGAATGGTCATGTTCCTGCAGGAGGTGCCCCAGGCGGTACAGGTATTCAAACAGCTAGCTGCTAATGCTGCTGTTTAATGTAATGCAACTTTAATGGTCATCTACATATGATTTACGAGATTGCTTTCCTTTTTCTTTTAGTTTGCAGCAATCCTCATTTTAATTATCATGTAAGGAATGACAATTAATCTCTCTCTCTCTCTCTCTCTCTCTCTCTCTCTCTCTCTCTCTCTCTCTCTCTCTCTCTCTCTCTCTCTCTCTCTCTCTCTCTCTTTGGTTTGTGTCCTGCTTAGACTAGCCGTTACCTAACCCAAACCATCTGAATTAAGATAAACTTTAGAAGTTTAAAGAGATTCTTCATTTACATGTACCATATGTCAAACACCTCTCTACAGATACTCACAAAAATGTCCGATTTATCACTTTAACCAGGACAAAACATCACAGTTACAAATATCTCCCATTCAGAGGCTTTAAAGAAACTGAACAGATCCACCATCCTGTCTGCTAACAGGTCACAGAAATGTACATATTTGTTAAGATCCCAAACTCTGAGCCAGGCGGAGTGTAAACAACAGAAGGGAACGTTTACGGGAGCTGCGGAGCTGAGACCGA